AGCACAAGGGCCTGAGTTCCATCCCAGGTTCTGCCAAAATAAATAAATAAGACAACAAACCAAATTAAAAAAAAAAAAAAATCAGATCTGTGGTTCCTAGGGACTGGGAGAAGAAGCTGACTGCAAAGTGACAGCTGATGGCCCTTTCTGGGGGAGAGGAAGTTGTCACTTCCAGATATCAGCTCCAAGTCTTTACTGGAGCAGTGGTGACAAGACTGTGCTCATATATCAGGGAGAAGGTAAATTTTACTGCATATAAATTTATTTGTTTATTTTTTGAGACAGGAGCTTGCTTTGTAGTTCAGGCTGCCCCCAAACTGTGTACCCCAAACTCACTATGGCCTCAAACTCAAGATCCTCCAGCCTCCGCCTCAGAGGGCTGGAATCACAGACGTGCACCACCACACAGGGTTGATGGCTCTGATTCTTGGACCAGCGCTCGAAGCGCAGGTTCTTGCCCGGGGTCCTCCCGGCGACGCTGGGTTCCAGCCCCACCCCCAGGTGGAGTCTGCTGGACTCTCAGGACTCAGGGAGACAGAGCCCAGACAAAGGACCTGCCGCAACCCTGCTGGGGAAGGCAAGGCTGAATCCCAGCTGCCCGAGCGCAGCCGGTGGAGTCAGGCGCTGGGCCCAGACTCTGGTGGAGAGAAGGCTGCTGGGCCCAGGGGTCCACTGTGTCTGCCGGGCAGGCCGAGCAGAAGGCCCCCACACCCCCATGCTCCTTTCGGGCCAGCGGCAGCACCAACGGGACACCCTGGCTCACCAGGTCCAGGCTCTGTCGCTTGGCGCCCTCTGGCGGCACCACTGGTCAAGGCCACCAGGGAATCCCGTGTCTCCCCCAAGGCCTGCTCTTATAAATTTGGGTTCCAGCTGCTAAATGCAGCCCTACTTCCCATTTTTTTCTGGACAGGGTCTGGCTAAGCAGTTCAGGCAGGCCTGGAACTCACTAGGTAGCCCCTGCCTGGCTTCTCTTCCCACTGTCAATCTACCAAAGAGAAAGGGCAGCCCCAGGGCAATCAATGGCCCCACCCAATATCCCAAAACGGCTCAGCACCGAGGTGGGGCTGGGCGGTCTGGCCTCCCCCAGTCCAAGTGCTGTCCCTAGCTGGGCAAGGCGATCTCAGGCCAGGGAAGATGCAAAGAGGCTGAGCCAGAGGTTACAAGGTATAAAGTGCAAATGCAGCTGGCTTTTATTGAGGGCCTACTGTGTGCCCCCCTCAGCCTGCTAGGTCCCCCACCCCCGCACTTCCCACTGGTAGGGAAGAAGTCCTGGCAAGACCCAGCCTTGGAGTTAGGGAGGGCTGAGGTGGAGGGAGAGGTGGTATCCTCGTGGGGGGATGGGGCCTGAGGTCTGCCCAGCTTGTGTGAAAGCCGAGGGCCACCTCCTGCCCTCCATCCTGGGGCATCCAATCCATCTTTGAGTGGTTTCTCCTGACCTAAGATGGGCCAGGCCTAAGGTGACAGCCAGTCTCCTGCTGGCTTCCTGGCTCCTGCCAGCAGTCAGTCGCCTCCTTTGCTCCTGGACACTGCTGCGGACCCATCATTTGGTCTGGTGTGACAAGGACCCGGAGGGGCGGGATGCCCTGGTGCTCAGTGAGGGGATTTTCTGAAGCAGACAGCTGGATGAGATGAGAGGAAGAGGGGTGAAAATCAGACAGTGCAGCAGCCAGGGACAGGAAGCTATAGACAGCCAGATTCAGAGACAAAGCGGCTGCACAGACAGAGCCTCGCGGGCCCAGCCCAGTGCAAAAAGGAGGCCCACGGGCTGTGTCCGTCCCGCCAGCTGCACCTAGAGCTCATCCCGTGGGTGCGGATGGATGCTGTGCCCGCTGCTTCCCGCCAGGTCCAGGCGGGGGTCACGCAGGGTCTTCTGAGAGCCGGTCCAGCTGATGAGGCGTCCACTGTCGTCATCCCATGGAGAAGATGTTTCTGTGTCACTGAGCCACTCGGTGTCCCCTGCATAGTGGGTGGGGGCAGCAAGCAGAGGCTGGGCGGAGAAGGCCCTCAAGTCCCGTGGCCAGAAGTGCGCCTTGTACTGCTCACTGTGGGGGTGCGGAGAAACAGTGCAGGTCACTCCTCTGCCCAGACCCCACACCAGCTGGTCTTCCCAAGGGACCCCAGGACTCCTCACGGCTGCCCTGACAAGTGGGACTTCTGTGATCCCCATTTTCCACATAAGGAAACTGAGGCTCAGAACAAGAAGTTATTGGATAAAAGAGCATGTAGGCCGGGGAGATAGCTCAGCAGCTTAAGCACCTGCCTGGCAAGTGCAATGTTTTGAGTTCAATCCCTGGTACTAAAAAATTAAATAAAATAAAAACCGGGGCTGGTGAGATGGCTCAGTGGTCTAAAGCACCTACTTAGAACAAACTTAGCAAATCACAGGGACTGCGGTTCAATCCCCAGCACCACATGCCAGCCAGCCCTGCCCCCTGGTGGGCTGAGCTGGCCACACACACACACACACACACACACACATAAATAAATAATTTTTAAAAAAATAAAATAAATAAAAAATAAAATAAAATAAAATAAAAACCATGCAGCCAGATGTGGTGGCTCACTCTTGTAATCTCAGCACTTGGGAGGCTGAGCGGGAAGATCACCATGAGTTTGAGGCCAGCCTGGGCTGCACATTAAGACCCTGTCTCAAAACAAGACTCCCAAAAGAAAAAAATATATAAAAAACAAAAGCCATGGGCCAGGGATATAGCTCAGTGGCATAAATGCCTTCCTGGCCTTCCGCCACAGCAACCATCAAAGAAGCGTAGCCATGGCCCTCCGCTATCCCGTGGCCATGGGCCTCAACCAGGGCCACAAGGTGACAGAGAATGTGAGCAAACCGAGGCACAGCCGTCATCATGGACATCTCACCAAACACACCAAGTTCGTGCAGGACATGATCCGGGAGGTGTGCAGCGCCAAGGAGCTGCTCAAGGTCTCCAAGGACAAGTGTGCCCTCAAGTTCCTCAACAAAAAGGTGGGGACGCACATCCTCGACAAGAGCTGAGCAACGTGCCGACCACCACGAGGAAGGCAGCTGTCAAGAAGGATTGAGTACCTCTGGAATAAAGCTTTGCAGAAAGTTAACAAAAAAAACAAAAAAACAACAACAACAACAACAACAAAAAAAAGCCTTCCTGGCAAGCACAAAGCCTTGAGTTCAATCCCTGGTCCAAAAAAATAAAATAAAAACCACACAGGCAGCACAGCCTCCCCTCTAACTTGGGGGACCCGCCCCACCCTGTCCCCAAGCTCACTTGGGGTGCTGGTCGAACATGATGGGCAGGAACTCATCCACGGGCACCATGCGGTGCAGCGGCTGTGAGGCCAGCAGCTTCTGGGCACCCGCCAGGCTCAGGGTGTAGGCCAGTGTCCAGTAGGAGTACCCGGCCACCACCAGGCCCGGCAACCCCTCCACGGCCACCTCCTCCTCCGGGCTCACCTGCTTCCGGCCGAGGTAGCTGCAAGTGACGTGGAGGGTCACTACAGGTCCTCCAAACCCCAGCCCTCCCTTGCCCTGGGCTGCGGACGGCCTACATCAGGTCCCACTGTAGCTGCTGCTCGGCCACCTCCTGCATCAGCCGCTCCAGCCGACCCCGGAAGTTCCTCTCAAAGTGCACGTCGTCTTCAAACACCAGCACCTGGGCCAGGCCCCTGGCAACCACCTGTGGTCCACAGCGCAGCAAGAGGTAGCTCGGCCGGTCTGTGCTGTCCCCTTCCCACCTGCCTACTGCTCATCTTGGTGATGACAGCTCTGTGGGATCAGCCCTGGCCGCACCTCTCAGCTGCTCCTCAGCCTCCCACCCAGTGACTAAAGCCTCAGCCCCTGCTCAGCACCAAGGCCTGCCAGGCACAGCGCTGCTCTCCAGAGAGAGCCGTGGCTGCCACCACCCTACTCCATTCACCATGAGCAACTGGAAGCCAGGGGCCGGGCTCATCTCCAGAGATGCCAGGAGCAGGAACTGGGACCGTGGCTCATTGGTGGCACATGGCAGGAAGTGGTGGAGCTAAGACTTGAACTTTGTGTGTTTGTGTTTTTGTTTTGTTTTTCATTTGAAATCTTTTATGAATAAGTGCTTCCCTGGAAAGTGCAAGGGTCTGAGTTCAATCCCCAGTTCCGCAAAAAAATAAAATAAAATAAATCGTTTATGTATTTGGTACAGGGTCTACACGGTATCACTATGCAGATCGGACTTGTAGTGATCCTCCTGTTTTCAGCCTCCCAAGCACTGGGATTACAGGTGTGCGCCACCATGCCCGATCTCAATTGCTGTCTCCGTGTCCCAGGGGCAGGACAGGCATGGCATGCCCTGGGCCCTGCATCTGCAGGTGCTTTAATCTGCTGAGCTATGTGGCCAGCCCTTGTGTGTGTGTTTTTTTTGAGACAGAGTCTTGCTATGCAGTTCAGGCCAGCTTTGAACTCAGTGTGTAGCTCAGGCTGGTCTTGAATTCCCAATCACTGTCCTGTCTCAGCCTCCTGAGTACTGGAATTACAGGCATGTGCTAACACATGAACCTTTTTTTTTTTTTTTGGCAGAACCCAGGATTGAACTCAGGCCCTTGCACTTGACAGGGAAGCACTTATTCTACTGA